GCATATGTGTCCCTTCTTTTTCAAATTCTTTATATCTTGTCTACCACACTTTGGTTAGAGCAGATGGCAAAATAATGCCGAAGGGATGCTATGCCTTCATAGTCTTTGAGTACAACAAAAATGCTAGAATTAGCTCAATGTCATGCGAGAGATACTATTAGTATCTGCGTATAAGTAGTACATACATAACTGCTGTCAAGACTAGACATATGTATGACCGATAAATTCCCATTTATTTGATCTTCTTCTCAGAAAATATTAGTCTTTTATTGTAGTTTTGAGATAATCAAAGAAATTATACAATCTGTTATGCTTATATGTGAAGAAAAATTTTAAAGTATGAAATTGTTTATGTGAAAGAATAAAAATAGTGCTTCATTACCATAAAAGATGTTTGTAACAGGCAATATAGAAGGCCAAGTCGCTTTCAATTCGCAGGCATTTATCATAGGTCATTTGACTTGGGTTATAACATTTACATCATATAATTTGCAATGGCTGCCTATGTGCGTTACTGGTATTGGCAGTTATAAGATCTTCAGATATTAGCAAATTTCAGGGAAGTATTTTTATTTGAATATTCTCCTTTATAACCTGTGTTCACACCATTGCGAAATTGCTGTCAATGCAACAAGTTTCGCCCTATAGTATTCGAACACCTCTTTGGCGGCTGTAATAAGTTATTCTTCTACTTCCTATTTAACTCAAATAGCAGCAACAGCTTCGAAATAGCTTTTGTCTAAAATGAAGTTTTTGTCTTAGTCAGTACATACTTATTACCTTCAAATGTAAATCTGTGAAAGTTCACCACACTTCCCAAATTTGCTACTGGCATTGCTAAAGGTCAGTTCAGTGCTCCTTAGATCTAAGAAAAGAAACGAAAAAAGTAACGAAGGGAGCGAGAAATTGTATTGTATTATATTGCTTCATTTGCGTTCTTAGACGAGCTTTGGACTGACTTTTAACAATGCCAGTAAATTGGAAAATGTGGTAAATTGTTGCTTAGTTCCACTCACTCCGACTAGGAGTGAAGTCATAGTAAAAGCATTTTATAAGCATTTTGGAAACAGTCCCTTTAAGCTTTCATGACTTTTCTGCTTTCTA